AGAAAAAATCTGAACTCAACCCCATGAAAGTGGTCAAGGACACAAAACAGCCCACTTTCAAAAGAGACGCCATACAGCAACAAACAGAAAAACCTCAACATAACTGATCATCAGAGAAATGCAAATCAAAACCACATGAGACACCATCTCACAACAGTCAGAATGACTATAATTCAAAAAATAAAAAAGATCACTGTGAATTCATGAGAAACAAGGAATGCTTTTACACTGTTGGTGGGAGTATAAATTAGTTCAACCATTGTGGAAGATGGTATGCTGATTCCTCAAAGACCTAGAACCTGAAATACCATTTAACTAGCAATCCATTACTTAGTATATACCCAAGGAATATAAATAATTCTAGAGGTAAGATACATTTGTCTGTACCCACCACTGCAACACTATTCACAATAGCAAAGACAAGGAATCAACCTAAATGCCCATCAATGATAGACTAGATAAAGAAAATGTAGTACATATACACCATGGAATACTATGCAGCCATGAAAAGGAATGAGACATGTCCTTTGCCAGGACATGGATGGAGCTACGGAACATTATCCTCAGCAAATCAGGCGCAAATAGAAAATGAAATACTGCATACTCTCACTTATAAGTGGGAGCTGAATAATGAGAACACATGGACACATGGCAGGGAACAACACACAGGGGCTTGGTAGGGTGGCGGGTGAGAGGAGGAGGCATCATGATTAGTAGAGACAGGGTTTCACCGTGTTAGCCAGGATGGTCTCGATCTTCTGACCTCGCGATCCGCCCGTCTCGGCCTCCCAAAGTGCTGGGATTACAGGTGTGAGCCACCGCACCCGGCCTCCCATTTCATTTTTAATTAAGCTTATTTGGATCTTCTCTCTTCTTTTCTTGGTTAATCTTGCTAATACTTATCCATTTTATTTATCTTTTCAAAGAAACAGCTCTTTGTTTCATTTATCTGGTTTTTTTTGTTGCAATTTCATTTAGTTCTGTTCTGGTATTTGTTATTTTTTTTCTTCTGCTGGGTTTGGATTTGGATTGTTCTAGTTTCTCCAGTTCTGTGAGGTGTGACCTCAGATTGTTTATTTGTGCTCTTCCAGACTTTCTGATGTAGGCATTTAATGCTATGAATTTTCCTCTTAGCTCCACTTTTGCTGTATCCCAGAGTTTTTGATAGGTTGTGTCACTATTATCATTCAGTTCAAAGAATTTTTGAATTTCCCTCTTGATTTCATTGTTGACCCAAAAATCCTTCAGGAGCAGGTTATTTAATTACCATGTATATGCATGCTTTTGAGTGTTCTTTTTGGAGTTAATTTCCAATTTTATTCCACTGTGATCTGAGAGAGTACTTGACATAATTTTGATTTTCTTAAATTTACTGAGACTAATTTTGTGCCCTATCATGTGGTCTATTTTGGAGAATGTTCCATGTTCTGATAAATACAATGTATAGTCTATGCTTGTTGGGTAGAATGTTCTGTAAATATCTGTTAAGTCCATTTGTTCTAGGGTATAGTTTAAGTCTGTTGTTTCTTTGTTGACTTTCTGTCTTGGTGACCTGTCTAGTGCTGCCAGAGGAGTATTAACATCCCCCACCACTGCTGTGTTGCTGACTACCTCATTTCTTAGGTCTAGTAGTAATTGTTTTATAAATTTGGGATCTCTAGTGTTAGGTGCATATATATTTAGGACTGTGATATTTTCCTGTTGAACTAGTCCTTTTATCATTATATAATGTCCCTCTTTGTCTTTTTAAACTGCTGTGGCCTTTAAGTCTGTTTTGTCTGATCTAAGAATAGCTACTCCTACTCAGTTTTGGCATCCATTTGGACGAAGTGTCATTTTCCATCCCTTTGCCTTAAGTTTATGTGAGTTCTTATGTGTTAGGGGAGTCTCCTGAAGACAGCAGCAACTTGGTTGGTGAATGCTTACCCATTATGCCATTCTGTATCTTTTAAGTAGAGCATTTAGGCCATTTATGTTCAACATAAGCATTGAGATGTGAGGTACTATTCTATTCATCATGTTATTTGTTGCCTGAATACCTGAAAACCTGAAAGCATTCCCTTGGAAAACTGACAGAAGACAAAGATGCCTTCTCTCACCACTCCTATTCAATGTAGTATTAGAAATTCTCACCAGGGCAATCAGGCAAGAGAAAGAAAGAAAAGTTATTCAAATAGGAAGACAGGAAGTCAAACTATATTTGTTTGCAGATGATGTGATCATATATCTAGAAAACTCCATCATCTCAGCTCAAAAACTCTTAAGCTGATAAGCAACTTCATCAAAGTCTCAGGATACAAAAGCAACGTACAAAAGTCACTAACATTCCTACACACCAAAAACAGGCAAGCTGAGAACAAAATCTTGAATTAACTCCCATTCACAATTGCTACAAGAAGAGTAAAATACCTAGGAATACAGCTAAAAGAAAAGTGAAGGACCTTTTCAAGGATAACTACAAACCATTATTCAAAGAAATCAGAGATGACACAAAGAAGTGGAAAAACGTATATGCTCACAGACAGAAAGGATCAATATCGTGAAAATGACCACACTGCCCAAGGCAATTTGTAAATTAAATGCTAGGCCCATTAAACTACTATTGACACTCTTCACAGACCTAGAAAAAGCTACTTTAAAACTCATATGGAACCAAAAAAAAGAGACCAAATAGCCAAGACAATCCTAAGCAAGAAGAACAAAGTTAGAGGCATCACACTACCCAGCTTCAAGCTATACTGCAAGACTACAGTAACCAAAACAGCATGGTGCTGGTACAAAAACCAACACATAGACCAATGGAACAATACAGAACCCAGAAATAAGACGACACACCTACAACCATGTGATCTTTGACTCTTTGACAAACTTGACAAAAGTAAGCAATAAATGGTGCTGGGAGAACTGGCTAGCCATATGCAGAAAATTGAAACTGGACCCCTTCCTTAAACCATATACAAAAGTTAACTCAAGGTAGATTAAAGACTTAAATCTACAACCCAAAACTATAAAAATCCTGGAAGAAAACCTAGGCAATGCCATTCAGGACACAGGCAAGGGCAAAGACTTCATGATGAAGATGCCAAAAGCAATTGCAACAAAAGCTAAAATTGACAAATGGGATTTAATTAAACTAAACAGCTTCTGCACAGCATAAGAACCTATCAACAGAGTAAACAGACAACCTATAGAATGGGAGAAAATTTTTGCACTCTATCCATCTGACAAAGGTCTAATATCCAGCATCTACAAGGAACTTAAACAAATTTACAAGAAAAAAAATACGAACTCAACCCCATTAGAAAGTGGTCAAAGGACACAAACAGACACTTCTCAAAAGAAGGCATACATGCAACCAACAAACAGAAAAACCTCAACATAACTGATCATCAGAGAAATGCAAATCAAAACCACATGAGACACCATCTCACAACAGTCAGAATGACTATAATTCAAAAAAATAAAAAGATGCTGGCAAGATTATGGAGAAACAAGAATGCTTTTACACTGTTGGTGGGAGTGTAAATTAGTTCAACCAGTGTGGAAGATGGTATGCTGATTCCTCAAAGACCTAGAACCTGAAATACCATTTAACCTAGCAATCCCATTACTTAGTATATACCCAAAGGAATATAAATAATTCTAGGATAAAGATACATGCACACGTATGTTCACTGCAACACTATTCACAATAGCAAAGACAAGGAATCAACCTAAATGCCCATCAATGATAGACTAGATAAAGAAAATGTAGTACATATACACCATGGAATACTATGCAGCCATGAAAAGGAATGAGACATGTCCTTTGCTAGGACATGGATGGAGATGCAGAACATTATCCTCAGCAAATCAGCGCAGAAATAGAAAATGAAATACTGCATGCTCTCACTTATAAGTGGGAGCTGAATAATGAGAACACATGGACACATGGCGGGGAACAACACACACAGGGGCTTGTGGTAGGGTGGCGGGTGAGAGAAGGGAGAGCATCATGAAGAATAGCTAATGGGTGCTGGACTATTATTAATATCTAGGTGATGGGATGGTCTGTACAGCAAACCACCATGGCACATATTTACCTATGTAACAAACCTGCACATCCTGCATGTGCACCCCTGAACTTAAAATAAAAGATGGAAATAAAAAATAATAGTAATTGCAGGTCACCTGATAGAATGCAGTAAGAAGATCATGGGATAACTTCTGTGATACTCTTGCCCAAAAAAATTATCATCTAAATCTTATCATAAAAAATTCAGAGAAATCCAATGGAGGAACATTCTGTATTATTGGACTTTACTCTTCAAAAGATTTAAGGTCATAAAGGTCAAAGAAAAACTGAGGAACTGTTTCAGACTGAAAGAGTCATGACAACTAAATGCAATTCATGGAACTGAATGGGATCTTTTTGCTGCAAAGAACATTATAGATAATTAACAAAACTTGAAAAGGAAATGAGAATTAAATGATCAAATGTATTGATGTTAACTTTCTGGTTATGAAGTAGTTATGTAAAATGTCCTGACTTGTGGGAATGCCCACTAAAGATATCAGATGTGATGGCATAATGTGAGCAATTTACTCTCAAATGGCCCACAGGGGGAAAGTTATTTTTCTTAAAATGTGGAAATTTTCTGCAATTTTAAGACTGTTTCCCAAAAGTTAATCAAATAAAGAAATGAAACAATAAATAGAAAAAATGAAAAGGCTTAGGCAAACCTTATTTTTCCACAGGAAAAGATCTATATAAATCAGTGCTTAAAATTAAAATTATCTAAGTTTTATTGCACTATAACAATTGCAATACATCCAAACATTGACAATGACCACAGTACCAGTATACCAAAATAATGTCTATCTAAACTTAAATCTATCACTATATATAAAGATAAAAATTATAAAATACAAATAAGCCATCAGTTGACTCCACTAAATTGTTAATGGCAACTTGATTATTTGGCTGTTTAAACAGCTAACATTTGGGTGGTTTGATTAAGTAAAACTCAATAATAGTGGTTTTCATTTGCAAAATCACTTAAAAGTTAGCTGAAGAGGCCAAGAAACATTATTTAAAATACTATATAAATTTTCATCAGACATGTATAATACAGAATATTTCCCTTTAGTAAAAATGTTCACATCATATACTTAATGGGAAACAAAATATGTCAACAGCCCAGAAATAAAATTGCCTTATCTTTCAGACCATGTATTTTCTGCTTAAAATCTGTGCATATTCTTTTGTTGCTTCCAACACTGGATCTTGATTCAGATTTTTCTGGTATGCAGATTCTGGAGGAGAATCTACATATGGTTCAGGTTCACATTTAGTAGTAGCTGAAAAGAAAAAGCAAGAATTATATTATCATTATTATTATTATTATTTTAAGATAGGGTCTCACTGTTTCACCTGTGCTGGAGTGCCATGGTGTGATCACAGGTCACTGCAGTCTCGTCCTCCCAGGCTTCAGCAATTCTCCTGCCTCGGACCCAGGTACCTGGAACTGCAGGCATGAGCCACTGCGCCTGGCAAGTTTTTGTATTTTTTATAAGGGCAGGGTTAGTCATGATGCCCAGGCTACTCTCAAACTCCTGGGCTCCAGTGATCTGCCTGCCTCGGGCTCCCAAAGTGCTGGGATTACAGATGTGAGCCAACATGCCTGGCCAAAGAATTATATTCTATATATCTCATAGTTAACTAAGCTTAAGTCAGTAAAAAAGAGTTGAGAGTTTTTTCAGTGTTAATAAGAATGAAAAGTATGTATGACTACAATGATAAGTTATTATTAGATAAGAATCTGGGGAGGTTCCAAGATGGCCAAATAGGAACAGCTCCAGTCTACAGCTCCCAATGTGAGCAATGAAGAACACGGGTGACTTCTGCATTTCCAACTGAGGTACTGGGTTCATCTCACTGGGGCTCACCGGCGCTTGTCAGACAGTGTGCAGCCCACGGAGTGTGAGCCAAAGCAGGGCAGGGCATTGCCTTACCCAGGAAGTGCAAGGGGTTGGGGAATTCCCTTTCCTAGCCAAGGGAAGCTGTGACAGGCGGTACCTGGAAAATTGGGACACTTCCACCCTAATACTGTGCTTTTCCAACAGTCTTAGCAAATGGCACACCAGGAGATTATATCCTGCGCCTGCCTAGGAGGGTCCCATGCCCACGAAGCCCAGCTCACTGCTAGCACAGCAGTCTAAGATCCATCTGCAAGGCAGCAGTGAGACTGGGGGAGGGGCATCCACCATTAATGAGGCTGGAGTCAGTAAAGTGGTGGGAAGCTCAAACTGGGTGGAGCCCACTTCAGCTCAGGGAGGCCTGCCTGCCTCTGTAGACTACACCTCAGGGGGCAGGGCATAGCTGAACAAAAGGCTGGAGAAACTTCTGCAGACTTAAACATCCCTGTCTGACAGCTTTGAATAGAGTAGTGGTTCTCTCAGCATGGAGTTTGAGATCTGAGAACAGATAGACTGCCTCCTCAGGTGGGTCCCTGACCCTGGAGTGGACTAACTGGGAGACACCTCCCAGCAGGGACTGACTGACACCTCATACAGGCGGCTGCCCTTCTGATATGAAGCTTCCAGAGGAAGGATCAGGTAGCAACATTAGCTGTTCTGCAATATTTGCTCTTCTGCAGCCTCTGCTGGTGATACCCAGGCAAACAGGGTCTGGAGTGGACCTCCAGCAAGCTCCAACAGATCTGCAGCTGAGGGTCCAGACTGTTAGAAGGAAAACTAATAAACAGAAAGGACATCCACACCTAAACCCCATCTGTACGTCACCATCATCAAAGACTAAAGGTAGATAAAACCACAAAGATAGGGAGAAACCAGAGCAGAAAAGCCGAAAATTCTAAAAATCAGAGTGCCTCTTCTCCTCCAAAGGAACGCAGCTTCTCACCCGCAATAGAACAAATCTGGATGGAGAATGACTTTGATGAGTTGAGAGAAGAAGGCTTCAGATGATAGGTAATAACATGCCAAATTGCAAAGACCATCAATGCTAGGAAGAAACCGCATCAACCGACAAGTAAATTAACCAGCTAACATCACAATGATAGGATGAAATTCATACATAACAATATTAACCTTAAATGTAAATGGACTAAATGCTCCAATTAAAAGACACAGACTGGAAAATTGGATAAAGAGCCAAGACGCATCAGTGTGCTGTATTCAGGAGACCCATCTCACGTGCAGAGACACACACAGGCTCAAATAACGGGATGGAGGAAGATCTACCAAGCAAATGGAAAATAAAAAGGCAGGGGTTGCAATCCTAGTCTATGATAAAACAGACTTTAAACCAACAAAGATTAAAAGAGACAAAGAAGGCCATTACATAATAGTAAAGGGATCAATTCAACAAGAAGAGCTAACTATCCTAAATATATATGCACCCAACACAGGAGCACCCAGATACATAAAGCAAGTCCTTAGAGACCAACAAAGAAACTTAAGACTCCCACACAATAATAATGGGAGACTTTAACACCCCACTGTCAACATTAGACAGATCAACAAGACAGAAAGTTAACAAGAATATCCAGGAATTGAACTCAGGTCTCACCAAGCAGACCTAATAGACATCTACAGAACTCTCCACTCCAAATCAACAGAATATACATTCTTTTCAGCACCACATCACACTTATTCCAAAATTGACCACATAGTTGGAAGTAAAGCACTCCTCTGCAAATGTCAAAGAACAGAAATCACAACAAACTGTCTCGAAGACCACGGTGCAATCAAATTAGAACTCAGGATTAAGAAACTCACTCAAAACCGCACAACTACATGGAAACTGAATAACCTGCTCCTGAATGACTACTGGGTACACAATGAAATGAAGGCAGAAATAAAGATGTTCTTTGAAACCAATGAGAACCAAGACACAATATACCAGAATCTCTGGGACACATTTAAAGCAGTGTGTAGAGGGAAATTTATAGCACTAAATGCCCACAAGAGAAAGCAGGAAAGATCTAAAATCAACACCCTAACATCACAATTAAAAGAACTAGAGAAGCAAAAGCAAACACATTCAAAACTAGCAGAAAGCAAGAAACAACTAAGATCAGAGCAGGACTGAAGGAGATAGAGACACACACACAAAAAAACCCTTCAAAAAAATCAATGAACCCAGGAGTTGTTTTTTTTTAAAGATCAACAAAATTGATAGACCGTTAGCAAGACTAATAAAGAAGAAAAGACAGAAGAATCAAACAGATGCAATAAAAAATGAAAAAGGGGATATCACCACCGATCCCCCCACTGTGGAGTTCTGTGTAGTCCAGTTTGGCTGGATGCTAGAGCAAAGCGGCAGAGTACAGTTAGTGGTGAGAGATAAACCTGAGTAACATGACAAGAACCAAATGAATGTGGGTGTTTATATTCCATGTTAAGAATTTTGGAACATTTCCTGAGGGCAAAAGTAAACCAATGACACTGTAAATGACTGGAGACTTAAAGTGTTACCTCTCAAGTGACTGTTTATAAACTGTAACTGCTTGACTAGGTTACTAGATGAGACTGGAGTGTTTTGGCCTTAAAAATCACTACCATAATCCTGAGAAGCTGATGATGCCTTTGTTTTCTGAGAATAGTTTCTGTGTGCTGGCTGACAGTTCCATAAGGATGGTAGAAGTGAAGTATAGAGCCAGACTTCTTGATTTTTCAAGTTATGGAATGTGATGAATTCATGAGGCATAAGTATGCTCTTCGTTATACATGTTCAATTTTTCACATCTTTCATCAGATGTGTGTAAGAAAGAATATTTAATGTAGTATCTATTAGCCCAAGAATGGAAAGGGATGTCATTTGCAGTTTATTTTAGACATATATTACTTAATCCAAATTTAATTCATAAATTTTGGTAACATACCTGTTACTTCTGTAGTTATATCATTTTGCAACTTCTGCTGCATCTGAAATAAGACAAATATTATTTATAATGTTTAAGAGACATTATCATGGTAAGGAGCGTCAATTACAAAACATGGCCTTTAAATAATACTTTTAGAGACCAGACCTAACTTGAAGAATGCTTATATTTAAGAAAATCACATAAATTCCTATTTTAAGTTTAGATAATGGAGAACATATATGTGTTATGCTGTTTAATCTCACAAAAGTACAATTAATATTGGTCTGTTGGATCTACATCATTTCAAAAGTGTGATGTTTTCCCTTATTAGTACAGAGGTTAAACAATTCAAGTCATATTTTGCAATGAATTCATTACTTTCCCATTCTTATCAAAACTCTGCCTTTTATCAAGGTGTAATCAGTTTTTCACTCTAATGAATAGTTCCTTAAAATGAACTCTCCATTATTCACTTTTAGAAAATAGTAATTTTAAAGTATGTTCTTTGCTATTAATTCAGCACAGAATCTGTAATACATACTTGAAGAAAGCAGTATTGTTGTGATGCCATGTGAAAGTTCCACTGGAAAAATATTATGATATTTATTATGATTAACATTTCTTTATTTATATAGATGCAAAGATTTCAGAAAATTTACATGAAAACAAGAATATAGGTTACAGCCAGTTTTCAATCTTAGTTTCTTTGATTCAGTAATGTCTAGAATTAAAAACTAGGAAAACAATATAAAGTTATTTAACTGCAACTTTGATTTCTTTTCAGAAATTAGTACCCACTTTTTGAAGCATCTGGCAAGTTATAGTTATCCACTTAATTATGAAAGATGTGGGAATATTTCAAACTTATTGCCAGTGTCTGTATCTAGAGTGCTCTTACTTAAACCTTTTGTAGAATAGGTATTCTCTCACTAAATGCCCAGAACAGGGTCTGAGATAGTTTGTGGTGATAACGATAATGATATCTAATGCCTTTACAAATTTTAGGTGTCAAGTCAGTTTTTCTTTTTTTTTTACTAACAGGTTTACCAATATTTTGAGACTCCTTTCCATAACATTTCTGTGACAAAAACATTACAGATAGGCTTTATAGAGTAAGTAACATGACAACAGCATTACCAGCCAGGCCATATAAAAGTAGTAATTCAACACCAGATAAAGGAGAAAGCCTTTCTTCAAAGAACACTAGATATTGTCATTCATAAACACTACATAAAAAGTACATTTTTACATGATTCAAATTAAGACACTACTACTGTAATGTTTTTATCTTTTCTCTGAAACACTCTTCTGGCTAAATATTTCTAATGTAATAGATTTTATTATTTCTTTATACCCCATTCACAAATATTTTCATAACACCTCAATTTTGTTAACATAAAAATGAAATAATCTTCTTAACAAATTGCTTACTTTTATACTTGTTGGGAACAAGTCCCCCAAAATCTGGCCATAAACTGGCCCCAAAACTGGCCATAAACAAAATCTCTGCAGCACTGTGACATGTTCATGATGGCCATAACGCCCTCGCTGGAAGGTTGTGGGTTTACTGGAGTGAGGACAAGGAACACCTGGCCCACCCAGGGCGGAAAACCGCTTAAAGGCATTCTTAAGCTACAAACAGTAGCATGAGCAATCTGTGCCTTAAGGACATGCTCCTGCTGCAGTTAACTAGCCCAACTTATTCCTTTAATTTGGCTCATCCCTTCATTTCCCATAAGGGATACTTTTAGTTAATTTAATATCTATAGAAACAATGCTAATGACTGGTTTGCTGTTAATAAATACATGGGTAAATCTCTGCTCAGGGCTCTCAGCTCTGAAGGCTGTGAGACCCCTGATTTCCCACTTCACACCTCTATATTTCTGTGTGTGTGTCTTTAATTTCTCTAGCGCCACTGGGTTAGGGTCTCCCCGACCGAGCTGGTCTCGGCAATACTGAAGAAATCATAACTCTGTAGAGAGAGAATACTTTTTGTATAACAACTTTAAGTAAAGGTCATTTTCTCTCCAAACTCTTCAATAAGAGTACATGGTAGAAGTCACCGCCTATCTTCCAACCCAGAGTGGCCTCCCCCTACATCAATTCTCTTCCAGCCTTTCCCTGATCCTTGAATATTTCACCACATAAATGACAGTGGAGGGCAGCTGCCTTTGGGAAAGAGATCCCAGGTCAGATGCAAAAGCAGAGGGAAAAAGGACAGACCCAGAACACGGGGAGGGAGTGCCTCTGGGATGGGAACCCAAAAGCTTAGGAAAGGGGTTTTGAGTGTTGATGGTTCCAATTTTTTCCTGGCCAGTTAAAGGCTGGGGTGGCTTTACCTATTTTCAGAAGTAAAAACAGGCAAATATTCAGCGACTTTTAAAAAGTCCTTTCATTTTATTTTTGCTTTGCCATTAAATCACACATTTTCCTCATATTTCCCTTCACAGAAATTCAGAATTGTTGTCCCCCGTTGAACCACTTAATACAGTGCCTGGCACAGCTAACAGAAGGGAAAAGGAGAGAAAAGTGTCTTGATGACATTAATCACTGTCTTATTCAGTGAGACAAGGGGGCCGGGCCATTGATAGCTTTTGTAGTGTGCAGAGCAATAGCTCAGCAGAAACTGAACATCACCAGAGGATATAAAAGAGCTTAGTAAACTGTTAATCTTCACTTTATACAACATACTAAATCAAAAGCTATACTAGCTCCTTATGGAGTAAAATACATAAACTTTTTAATAAAATTGCTCCTCCTGTCTCTATGGCCTTTCTCTTTATCTCGAGGTGAGGATTATGTCTCAGACGGTGGAGGAAGTCCAACATCAACAATCTGCAAGCACATCTGCAAATATATTTATACTTTTTCATTAAAAATATAAGTAGGTGGGGAAATTATACATGGGAGAACATAAGTACCAGCATACTTTAGCTAATTAGTAGGATTCTCTTAGAAATGACCCTTTTCAAGCTATGTCCCATAGAAATCTAAGGTTCCACAGAGGACGCTGAAGGATTAAGGGATAAGAAAGTCATGGTTTCAGAGCACTGATCCTTCCTTTAGTCAGACAGCACTACTTCTGCTTTCTATAAAGTGGTTTCATGCAATTTAAAAAAGTTCTATTCTTAAAAAAAAAAAAAAAAGAGTTTTACTTAAAGGTATGAATGTCACTGATTTAGTCAAAGTCCCTAATTTTATATAAGAAACAAAACAGGCTCAGAGAGACTGCAGCTTGCCTGAGGTCAGAAAGTCAATTAGTTGCAAGCTAGGAGTGGGTGGCTTCAGATCTTTCACTGAGCTTGGAGTTATTCTATGCCCCTAGCTGCTTCGTTCATATTTGGAAAAGAAACACAGATTTTAAAAAATAACTCAGAGAGGCTAGGTGTGGTGGCTCACGCCTGTAATCCTAGCACTTTGGAAGGCCGAAGTGGGTGGATCGCAAGGTTAGGAGTTCGAGACCAGCCTGGCCAATATGGTGAAACCCTGTCTCTACTAAAAATACAAAAATTAGTCAGGTGTGGTGGTGCACACCTGTAGTCCCAGCTACTCAGGAGGCTGAGGCAGGAGAAGCGCTGGAACCCAGGAGGCAGAAGTTGCAGTGAGCAGAGATTGCGCCACTGCACTCCAGCCTGGGTGACAGAGTGAGACTCTGTCTTAAAAAACAACAACAACAACAACAAAAACTCAGAGAAAATGCATCTATAAACTGTCACGATGCGCTCTAATGTTTAAGCATGAGACAAAAAAAGTAGCTCTCCAAGGTAAGTTTGAATAAAATTTAAACAACAATTAGTATCATAACTTCTACTAGTACCAATTGAGACACTCAATTTATAAAGAACACATTTTTCAAACTGCAGAGCAGAAAACTTGAAGGAGAAAATCTTCAGTTGAACCAAGCAACCAGAAATTGAGAAAACTGTTCCTTAAAATAACTATTCATTCTCCTCCAAATAAGACTTGGTTTATGAAAATCAATCAACAAGGCGATCATCCATGTTGTGAGTTATAGAAAAACTGAAAACACAAAACAGATTTATCTTTACCATCTAGCATACGTCTGTCCAACATTAATTGGTACAAAGATGTGGACTTAATTTCAATTATCACTTAAATCCAGCCAGAAATGATAGGAGAAGCTTCATTTCCCTGGCCTCAGGTTTCAAGTGAGGGCTTAGACTCTCTACCTACAGCTTCCTCTTGAGAAGATGTCAGATCTACCTAATGGGTGAATTTGGGCAAAGCATACAGTGTGCTTGCTTGGCTCAGGATCTCTTTCAAAAGATGTGTCTGCCCACGGTGACATGAGTTCAGGTCTGCTGTCATCTCTGCAGTAAGCAGCATGCAACTGCGATGGGTGTCAAGCATTTGTTTTCTCCACTTAAAACTCTGTGGGTTAGTGCCTGATCTGGGATAAAATACTGTGGCTGCACATCTGAGCCACATCCTCCCATTAGTTATCATGAGTCTGTGATAGAGCTAGTGTGTTGATGTCCATCTGACTCCAGTGTTCTGAACTCAGAAGGGAACGAGGAGCACGATTTGCTGCCTATCCACCACAGCCTGAACAAGATGACTGTATAACACTTACAGAAATAGTTTCTTCTTCCTTGACTTTCTAATCTTACCACATATTCTTTCTAATCTTACCACATATGCTGATCATCTCATTTTTTTCAGAAACTTAAAACCTAAGCAAACAATATGATTAAAAATATCAGCTAGCTGGGCTCTTGTAATCTATGTATTAAAACAATCATTTAATGCATTCTCTTTTAAGCTATTCGGCCACAATGCTGTCTAAGAAACCTTAGATTTGCTCTTCTATGATTTGTTAGGACATGAAATAGCCAGGTAAACACAACAAGGTTGAGGCTCATTCCATGTGGGCCTGTGCTTTTCTGTGCATTAAGGAGATCATGAAAACATCAAAACTATAAGCAAATGTGGACCGATTAAAAATTTTAAAAACAACAATATACACGAAGAAAACTATTTTTGTTCAAACAAATGCTTTCTGGATTTTGTAATTTTTTAAGAGACAGAATCTTGCTATGTTGCCCAGTCTGGAGTGCTGCAGTGCTGTAGCTACTCACAGGAATAATCATTGCGCACTGCAGCTTTGAACTCCTGAGCTCAAGTGATCTTTCTGCCTCAGCCTCAGGAGTAGCTGGGACTACAGGTGTGTGCCACTGTGCCCAGCTTTTGTAATTTTCCCCCAGTGGAAAAATGGACAAATGTTAGACAAATACCTTAATCTGGGTCAAGCACAGCTGAACTACGTTTTTGTTTTTTTTTTTTCCTTACCAACTCTATAGTTGATATAGCTTGTCATTCTTGGATTCATTTTGAAATCCCCAGAAATAGACTCTTACTCTGAGTGAAACCACATGGTTGAACTAAAAGGTTCCTGTTACATGTCCAGGGGAGATGTCCATGTGCAGCTTTACATGGAATTTGGGGTATTAAGAACAGAATTGATTCTGTTTGGTCACATTTGCTATTGAAGGACTCTAGATATCATTGCCATCTTAGTCACCAATCACTCCTGTTATGGCCAAGTAGAGAGACATAACTTATGTGAGCTTTACTTTAAAAATTCAAATATTTGTCTCATTTAACTATTTCAAAACCACTGTACAACCGCATAACAATAGACACATTTTACTAAAATTGGGATTAAAACACTGTAAATGCAATAGCAATTTTTATACAAATTTTTATAACCAGATGTACTCACGTAAGAAAATCACAAAACTTTTAACTTAAAGAACAGATTAATCAAGTGTTGCAGGTTTATATAACATATAAAAGTATTCACCTTGGGTCCTTTTAAATAATAAACATCCATGTGTGGTTAGTGTTTGGACACCAATCATTCACATATGATGAGGGGTAGAAAATCTGAGATGATGCAGAAAAACTTTAAAAGTGACCCCACGCACACTAAACCCTTTAAAAGTGAACCCCAGACAAACTAAAATCAGTTAGTAAGACAAAGCACATCAAAGTATACCTTTGGTTAAAATCTAACTTAATTGCAGTTTTTAAAGAAATTTAAAATGTGTCAGTTTGGTTACGTTTATTGAGTAAAGTTAACAAAGGAGTAATCTCTTATGAATGAGAGCTCCAGGGACTTAAAAATAACTGTAAAATTTCTGTCTCCTCTCTTTATTAACACAGATAATTATTACCTTTACTTGACCATACACAAGACAATTAAGTAACTGAGTATGTCACCAAATAACATACAAGAATTAGATCAGACATGTGAACACCAAAGGAAAAAAGATAACTAACCTTCAACAAGTAGCTCTCCATGCTCTCAGGAGCAGACTTCTTTTTTCTTGGAATATGTTTTCTGTTGAGATCTTCACTATCATTAAGATTTCCAGCACAAGGTGGCTCTAGGATGGGCCTTGTACTACAAGCAGCGAATGGAGATCTGGTCAGCTCTTTCTCCACAGTAAGTTGTGCACTGACCTCTGCTATCTTCTCATTAGTTCTATGAAGATTGCAAAAGACAAACGCTTAGTATTTCCTTTTTTCCTAAATGATTCCTAAATGACTTCAATTGTTCTAAAAGTTGCCGTAAGAGTAAATAGAATATACCATAAGCTGTGTTTTAACTCTGAAAATGTGTTAGAGCATGCCACTGTATCCAATTATAGTTTTAACATTGTTCTAAAGAAGTACATATGTTTCTAGGGGGATTTCTAACAAACAAGTAGTTCAAAGGAGGGAGGGGACAGAAAAGACTATCAATGATGTATCGCTTCACAGTTAACACTTGTTGCCTGTCTGGAATGACTCTACTTATAAGATTCTTAAGATGCCATTAGAATTACTTGTATTCCAAGGGTAACTATGTGAAATGATGAAGATATTAATTAGCTTGACAAAATAACCATTTCATTGCATATAAATATATCAAAACATCACGTTGTACTCCTTAAATATATACAATTAAAAAACTAAAAGTAAAAATACAAGCTAGAAATACTTGTATTTAGTAAAACAGAGATTTTCTAAAAAACTATCTCTCAAAGACATTTTCAAACAATTGGTTTCACCACCCTTGTACTTTTCACCCATTATCTGGAAAAAAATTGAGCATTTGGCACTGAGGAATCATTCAGGGCGACTTTTCCTAGGGGAGAATAAGACTGCTGAAATCAAAGAGAACTAAAGCAGCATCGAGGACAATCAGCTCCTAACAATGTGGCCCATGCACCAGAGGTGGGGCCTGCCTTTTCTGTCTTCCACATACCCGCTCAGGCTGACCAAGGTGTTATTTTTTATCACTTAGTAAGTTGTACTTCCCTTCAACTCTATGTTAATCATTCTCTACTTCACAGGTGTGCCTTTATGTGGAGTGGAAAAACGATACAGAACACTTCTTCTCAAGGTACCCTCTAATGATCACAATCAAGCAAAGTGAATTTACTGAGTGCCAGAATGTGCCCAGAGTAGTCGTACTTGACCCTTTCGGTTTTCAGCTGTCATCTTCCAAAAATTAAATTCATTAATATTTCAAATAAAGGGAATACGGACAAACAAGTTTTATAATGGCATCACTGTCTAAATTATGAAGCTTCACAAATACTTAGCTGAAACCCTAATAGATCAGGTTAACTATACAAGAATATTAAGGGGTGGGGGGAAGTCACGTAAAACCAAAAGCTGGAGAGACATGAACTGTCCTGGACTAAGATGTTAAAGGTTATGTTCATTTACTGTTTTCAATTTTACTTAAAGGTTAAGCTTATTTACTATTTATAATTTACAATTTTCCAAAATTGTATAATCTAGTAAGCTTTCACTTCCCACAAATCTCCTGAATCTGTTTCACTAAAAGTTATGCTTTTGAAGGCAAATTAATGAGCTTAACTTATTTTCTATGATTCTGTGTACTGACTTACCTATTCAGTTCATTTGACAAGGATTCTCTAACTTTTACTTCTTCTAGGTAGAGTTCCTTATATCTTTCCAATTCGGTTTTATTAAAGTTGGCTGACGAAGTGTTTATTCTGGAGATTTCAGATTCCAGATTTTTGATTGTGAGTTCCATCTGAGTTTTTACTGAAGTAGTATTATCCTCCCTTAACTGTGCTAACTGTTCTTGAGATACTGCTGCTTGTTTCTAAAATAAATTAAAAGGGAACATTTTAAAAGTAATTATAATCTGAATAATTACTGTGTATTTGTTTCCTTTTGTTCGGAGTCAGTGATTCTGAGAACAATTTTAAGTATGTGATTCAGAGAACAATTTTAAGAACAATGTGAAGAAAGAAAGAAGCTCAAGCTTAACATATTATCAGTACCAACTGCATTAATAATTGAATCTGAATTGTAGAACAATTCTGCAAAGAATGACAGAATCAAGTTTACATTTTAAAAGTGGAACAATGTAACTTAAAAGCAGTTCAACAGTATGGTATAATTTCTAAATCACAATTTTTTTTTTTTTACTTTTTCTATTAGTCTTGTATTATGCCAACTGGCTTTAGTAATCAAATGATTCTCTAGTGATAATTATTATTATGGAAGATCAATTTAGTTATAAGAATAAGAATGAAGGAAACGAAAATATTTAAATGGAGAAACAAATACCACCTTCCTTCTAGAAGTCTACCAAACAAATTGCTGGCAGGAAAGTAGAGAAAACACGTATGATGTATATATCCAAAACAAAATTTGCAGTGAAATGAATGAAAGCACATTACAGATAAATAAACCAACCTGCAAGGTGGGAATGGCTTCGTTTAATTTTTCTGCTATCTCTTTCCTTGCTTTTTCTTCAATCAACAGTTTATGCTGTTCAGCTTCAACACATTCTAACATATTTCTCTCCATATAACTTTTGAGGTTTACTACTTCTCGTTCCAGCTGCTGCTTATTCTTCTGCAGTGTTTCACATTGCATTTGTATTGCTTTCATAGAGAATAATGTCTGTTGAAGTTGAAGAACTTCATTCTCTGCATCCAGATGTAGACATTGTGAAGGTACAGTTTCCTGTGCTTCTATAAGGTCAACCTGCATGAGTAAAACAATATAGTTTTGTAATGAGAAGGTAGACTGAGAATGGTCTAACATAAAACTAATAATGTTTTAAATAAATTCAGTTGCAATAAAATGTTACCTATACTGTTATAGATTCATAAAATACAGACCCTTAGATTACTCAGAAAATTAAAAACAAAGTTAAAATCACCAGAATTCACAAAAATTTGTCCTTTACTTTCATCATCTTTGCCACACAACATTTGGACTTGATCTTAGACTTCTGCTTTCCTATGATTGTTTCATGGCTGTCCTCCTTAAAATGGCTCTAAGTCACCCCGTTAGCACAAAGTCTCTTATTGCTGTAACCCACTATCATTCTCCATAATTTGTAATGAAGTTTTAAGAGCATCATATTGAATTATTTGGGCCTGAGTCAATAAATGGCTCCCATAATAAGACTCTGAAAATAAGACTCTAATGAATAAATCTTGAAAAAAAAAATGGATTCCAATACCATAAGCCTTTTGCTGAACTGCAAATGTCTTATGCTAATTTGAGTTACATTTCAAAGAGTAATGATACTTGGAATTAAGAAGCAATCACATCTCCTAGTATAAAAGTTCAATGGCATGATCCATACCATTTTTCTGAAGAAAAATGGCTTAATTCAGTAGTATAGTCTTGTAATTCATTGTTACTTTACACAAAATAAGGGAGTACATTAAACAATGACAACAAAAAATTGCACTGAAATTTCAGTGGTGCTGAGTTGGACAGAACTGCTTTCCTTTAGAGGAAATAATTATGATTGTTTTTTATTTTATAAAGGTAAGTGAAGCAGTGGTTTTATTTTATTTTATTTTATTTTATAATTTATTTATTATTATACTTTAAGTTGTAGGGTACATGTGCATAACGTGCAGGTTTGTTACATATGTATACTTGTGCCATGTAGGTATGCTGCACCCATCAACTCGTCATTTACATCAGGTATAACTCCCAATGCAATCCCTCCCCCCTCCTCCCTCCCCATGATAGGCCCCGGTGTGTGATGTTCCCCTTCCCGAGTCCAAGTGATCTCATTGTTCAGTTCCCACCTATGAGTGAGAACATGCAGTATTTGGTTTTCTGTTCTTGTGATAGTTTGCTGAGAATGATGGTTTCCAGCTGCGTCCATGTCCCTACAAAGGACACAAACTCATCCTTTTTTATGGTTGCATAGTATTCCATGGTGTATATGTGCCACATTTTCTTAATCCAGTCTGTCACTGATGGACATTTGGGTTGATTCCAAGTCTTTGCTATTGTGAATAGTGCTGCAATAAACATATGTGTGCATGTGTCTTTATAGCAGCATAATTTATAATCCTTTGGGTATATACCCAGTAATGGGATGGCTGGGTCATATGGTACATCTAGTTCTAGATCCTTGAGGAATCGCCATACTATTTTCCATAATGGTTGAACTAGTTTACAATCCCACCAACAGTGTAAAAGTGTTCCTATTTCTCCACATCCTCTCCAGCACCTGTTGTTTCCTGACTTTTGAATGATCGCCATTCTAACTGGTGTGAGATGGTATCTCATTGTGGTTTTGATTTGCATTTCTCTGATGGCCAGTGATGATGAGCATTTTTTCATGTGTCTGTTGGCTGTATGAATGTCTTCTTTTGAGAAATGTCTGTTCATATCCTTTGCCCACTTTTGGATGGGGTTGTTTGTTTTTTTCTTGTAAATTTGTTTGAGTTCTTTGTAGGTTCTGGATATTAGCCCTTTGTCAGATGAGTAGATTGCAAAAATTTTCTCCCATTCTGTAGGTTGCCTGCTCACTCTGATGGTAGTTTCTTTTGCTGTGCAGAAGCTCTTTAGTTTGATGAGATCCCATTTGTCAATTTTGGCTTTTGCTGCCATTGCTTTTGGTGTTTTAGACATGAAGTCTTTGCCCATGCCTATGTCCTGAATGGTACTACCTAGGTTTTCCTCTAGGATTTTTATGGTATTAGGTCTAACATTTAAGTCTCTAATCCATCTTGAATTAATTTTCGTATAAGGAGTAAGGAAAGGATCCAGTTTCAGCTTTCTACTTATGGCTAGCCAATTTTCCCAGCACCATTTATTAAATAGGGAATCCTTTCCCCATTTCTTGTTTCTCTCAGGTTTGTCAAAGATCAGATGGCTGTAGATGTGTGGTATTATTTCTGAGGACTCTGTTCTGTTCCATTGGTCTATATCTCTGTTTTGGTACCAGTACCATGCTGTTTTGGTTACTGTAGCCTTGTAGTATAGTTTGAAGTCAGGTAGCGTGATGCCTCCAGCTTTGTTCTTTTGACTTAGGATTGTCTTGGAGATGCGGGCTCTTTTTTGGTTCCATATGAACTTTAAAGCAGTTTTTTCCAATTCTGTGAAGAAGCTCATTGGTAGCTTGATGGGGATGGCATTGAATCTATAAATTACCTTGGGCAGTATGGCCATTTTCACGATATTGATTCTTCCTATCCATGAGCATGGTATGTTCTTCCATTTGTTTGTGTCCTCTTTGATTTCACTGAGCAGTGGTTTGTAGTTCTCCTTGAAGAGGTCCTTTACATCCCTTGTAAGTTGGATTCCTAGGTATTTTATTCTCTTTGAAGCAATTGTGAATGGAAGTTCATTCCTGATTTGGCTCTCTGTTTGACTGTCACTGGTGTATAAGAATGCTTGTGATTTTTGCACATTAATTTTGTATCCTGAGACTTTGCTGAAGTTGCTTATCAGCTTAAGGAGATTTTGGGCTGAGACAATGGGGTTTTCTAAATATACAATCATGTCGTCTGCAAACAGGGACAATTTGACTTCTTCTTTTCCTAACTGAATCCCCTTGATTTCTTTCTCTTGCCTGATTGCCCTAGCCAGAACTTCCAACACTATGTTGAATAGGAGTGGTGAGAGAGGGCATCCCTGTCTTGTGCCAGTTTTCAAAGGGAATTTTCCAGTTTTTGCCCATTCAGTATGATATTGGCTGTGGGTTTGTCATAAATAGCTCTTATTATTTGGAGATACGTTCCATCAATACCGAATTTATTGAGGCGATTTTTTTTTAGCATGAAGGAGCTGTTGAATTTTGTCCAAAAAGCCTTTTTCTGCATCTATTGAGATAATCATGTGGTTCTTGTCTTTGGTTCTGTTTATATGCTGGATTATGTCTTAACCTTAAATGTAAATGGACTAAATGCTCAATTAAAAGACACAGACTGGCAAACTGGATAAAGAGTCAAGACCCATCAGTCTCCTGTATTCAGGAGACCCATCTCACATGCAGAGACATACATAGGCTCAAAATAAAGGGATGGAGGAAGATTTACCAAGCAAATGGAGAACAAAAGAAAGCGGGGGTTGCAATACTAGTCTCTGATAAAACAGACTTTAAACCATCAAAGATCAAAAGAGACAAAGAAGGCCATTACATAATGGTAAAAGGGTCAATTCAACAGGAAGAGCTAACTATCCTAAATATATATACCCAATGAGGAGCACCCAGATTCATAAAGCAAGTCCTTAGAGACTTACAAAGAGACTTAGACTCCCATACAATAATATTGGGAGACTTCAACACTCCACTGTCAACATTAGACAGATCTTGAGACGAAGATTCAAAGATATCAGGAATTGAACTCATCTGCAGCAAACAGACCTAATGAACATCTATAGAACTCTCCACCCCAAATCCAACAGAATATACATTCTTCTCAGCACCACATCATACTTACTCTCCAAAATTGATACGTAATGGAAGTAAAGCACTCCCTCAGCAAATGTACAAGAACAGAAATTATAACAAAGCTGTCTCTCCAGACCACAGTGCAATCAAACTAGAACTCAGGACTAAGAAACTCAATCAAAACTTCTCAACTACATGGAAACTGAACAACCTGCTCCTGAATGACTACTGGGTGCATAACGAAGTGAGGCGAAATCAAGATGTTCTTTGAAACCAATGAGAACAAAGGAGTACAACATACCAGAATCTCTGGGACACATTTAAAGCAGTGTGTAAGGGGAAATTTATAGCACTAAATGCCCACAAGAGAGAAAGCAGGAAGATCTAAGAGTGACACTCTAACATCGCAATTAAAAGAATTAGAGAAGCAAGAGTGGCTTACATTCGAAAGCTAAGAAGGCAAGAAATAACTAAGATCCAGAGGCAGAACTGAAGGAGATAGAGACACAAAAAACCCTCCAAAAAATCAGCCAGATCCAGAGTTGGTTTGAAAGATCAACTTTAAAATTGACAGACCGCTAGCAAGACGCAAGAAGAAAGAGAAGAATCAAATCGGCAGCAATTAAAAGCTGTTGAGGATATCACCCACCGACCCACAGAAATACAAACTATCATCACAGAATACTATAAACACCTCACATAAATAAACTGGAAAATCTAGAAAAATGGACTAATTTCCTGGACACTTACACTCTTCCAAGACTAAACCAGGAAGAAGTTGAATCCCTGAATAGACCAATAACAGCTCTGAAATTGAGGCAATAGTTAATAGCCTACCAACCAAAAAAAGTCCAGGACAGATGGATTCACAGCTGAATTCTACCAGAGAGTACAAGGAGGGAGTTGGTACCATTTCACATTTACCAGGAAACTATTCCAATCAATAGAAAAAGAGGGAATCCTCCCTAACTCATTTTTATGAGGTATCATCCCTGATACCAAAGCCTATGGGAACACAACAAAAGAGAATTTTAGACCAATGTCCCTGATGAACTTGTGATGCAAAAATCCTCAATAAAATACTTTAGCAAACCAGTTCAGCAACACATCCAAAAACATCCACACATGATCAAGTGGGCTTCATCCCTTCCCTGATGAACATCGATGCAAAAATCCTCAATAAAATACTGGCAAACCGGATTCAGCAACACATCAAAAAGCTTATCCACCATGATCAAGTGGGCTTCATCCCTGGGATGCAAGGCTGGAAATTTTGAATTTCATACAACCAATTCGACTACTTCTTTCTGATAAATGCCTGGACATGACCTGA